TATGAAATGGAAGCAGCAGTGCCGAGGCCTACCATGGCAGGACAAGTAAGGAGGCAACGGATCAGGCAGGCTAATGCTGCAGCACAGGTGAAGATGGTGGACATGCGAACCAAGGCAGGAGTAGTGGAGACAGAACATGGGGCATGAATGAATGCGAGTTTCAATGGCAGAGTTAGGCACAACTTTTCGAGGGCACAACTGGATACAGCATTTAAAGGAAAGGGAGAAATGATGGTGAATTACTTGTAGGATTCTGGCTTGGTAATTTAGGTGGCTGGGTGAGGGCTATTACACTGTTACCCAGGACAGGGAATTTATTTATTTATTTTTAAAGATTTTATTTATTTATTTGACAGAGAGAGACATAGTGAGAGAGGGAACACAAGCAGGGGGAGTGGGAGAAAGAGAAGCAGGCTTCCCGCGGACAGGGAGCCTGATGTGGGGCTCGATCCGAGGACCCTGGGATCATGACCTGAGCCAAAGGCAGATGCTTAACGACTGAGCCACCCAGGCGCCCCAGGACAGGGAATTTAAAAGGAAGAGCAGGTTTTTGGGTTTTTTTTAAAGATTTTATTTATTTGACAGAGAGAGACACAGCGAGAGAGGGAACACAAGCAGGGGGAGTGAGAGGGGGAGAAGCAGGCTTCCCGCCGAGCAGGGAGCCCGATGCCAGGACCTTAGGATCATGACCTGAGCTGAAGGCAGACGCTTAACCATCTGAGCCACCCAGGTGCCCCAGGAAGAGCAGGTTTGAAAATGAGTTGTTTTACGCTTAATCACAGTTTGAGGTGAGTGTGGGCTATCCAGGTAGTGAGGTTAGTAGAGTTAGTGTTCAGCCAGTCAACGTGGACATAGAGTGCACATTACGTGCCAGGCCCTTCACAAATATTAACTCACTTAACCCTCACCACATCCACTGAGAGAACCACTGTCCCCCCCATCTTACCACAGGGATGCTGCTGCATAGAGAAGTTAAGTAACTTCTCTAAGGTTCCACGGTGGTTAAGTTTTGGAGCTGGGATCCCCAACTCAGAGTCTGTGCTCTTAACCACCGAACTGTACTGCCTGCCTCAGGAAAAAGGGAGACATCAGGAGGACTGTGAATGTAAATTTGAATGGTTTTCTGTACACAAGTGCATGGTAGGTGAAGTCACAGGCATATATGTGAACTTTCCTAGGGAAAATGAGCAAAGAGAGAAGGAAAAAACCAACATAGCATGAAATACTGAAGGAAAGTTATGTGTTAAGCCAAAGGTGAAGGCGAATCGGGAGGAAAGAGCCAGTCGGGGAGATGGGAGGGGCAGTAGTAGAGAAAGTACTAAGGGCAGGAAGTAAGTAATGATGTCTTTGTAACCCCTGACAATCCCTTGCATATACTCTTTACAAATATTTTTAATTAAGTATAATCCCAAATAATATCAAATATCCATACTTATAGATATTCAAAAGACTTTATAGTTGAACAAAACTCAAATCATTTTTGCTTATGAGATTTTTCTAGAATACCAAGAGTTTATAGAAGATACATGGTCATTGAATATGAAACAATAACACAGACACCATATGAAATCATTCCTTACATTTACGTCCAGCTAAGGCGGCTTGTAGAAGCTTTATTCACACCCTACTTCACAGCAATGTAACATGTTACTCTAGTTTGCATTTTGTTGAAGATCACAGGAAATACTGGCTCTTCTAGGTTTTGCAACTGACAGATACAGAACTGTGCGGTCTCTTCCTAAAGCAGGGCTTAGAAAATGTGTATATGAAACTGATTACTTCTCACTTGAAGGAGTTACTGGAGCATCTGGTGAATCTTGAGCTGTACTGCTATAATAAATCTGTGTCTCTAAACAGTTTTTGTTAGGCATTCCTTATCATACTTACAATCCTATACCCTGAACACAAACATTTAGTAGAAAATGAGTTTCCTCAAGATAAAAAAAAAAAAGTTGGCCCCCATTTCCAATTCAAAGCAAATGTTTTCTTTTTTTTTTAAGATTTTATTTATTTATTTGAGAGAGAGAATGAGAGACAGAGAGCACGAGACGGAAGAGGGTCAGAGGGAGAAGCAGACTCCCTGCTGAGCAGGGAGCCCCGATGTGGGACTCGATCCCGGGACTCCAGAATCATGACCTGAGCTGAAGGCAGTCGCTTAACCAAATGAGCCACCGAGGCACCCTAAAGCAAATGTTTTCTACAGGGATAAATCTTGATTTCCAGGTCCGAACTCAAAGTGTTTTCCAACCTTTAGCATGCATACAAATCATCTGAGGATCCTATTAAGATGAAGACTCTGATTCAGCAGGTCTAAAGCTGGGCTGACACTCACGTTTCTAACAGGGGCTCTCTCCTCTCTTGGATGGTGAAGATGTCCCAGTCCACATGGGCTGCTCAGATGTGGCCCCTGAACCAGGAGCACTGGCAGCACTCGGAAACTTGTCAGAACTGCCCGGCCCTCCGGGTGACAAATGAAGCATACTAACATCATCTGCTGAGACTGATGAAGCCAGAAACTTACATTCAACTATTTCTTTTAAAATCCATTTACAACTCATTCATACACAGTTTCCTTTCTGTTACTGAAGATCAGACCTTCTTTTCTCTCAACTCCTTCCATTATTCTAAACTGTGCATCTAATAGTTAAGCACCTTCCACAAGGTGGCCCCAGCTTTCCTTCCAAGCTTTCTCCTCTAATCCCTATACAGGTCCACAACATGCCAGTTGAATGGGACTGGTTATTTTCTAAATAGAATGCCCTTCATCACACTCCCTCCCGTTCTGTTTTGTTGTGGTTGGTGCTTTTCCTCATCAGGCCAATCTCGAGAGTCATCTCTCTCTACTCACTTTGCCTGATTTCTCAGGAAAAGGTGATCTCACCGTTCTCTGAGCCAACACTCACCCTCACCTGAGGAGTTTTTCTCTCACTCTAGTACTTACTACATTCTGCTGTATACCTGTATGTTCTTGTCTTATCTCAGCTACTGAAGTAGAAGCTACTTGAGGGCAGGAATTTTTACAACTAATCTGGATATACCTTGCAGTGTGTAACACAGTTCCTCACTAATACAATGCTAAATAAAACTCCATTAACATCAAGTAAAGCAGTATTCCTTATTGATGATAAACTTGACCTAAATATTCCTAAATCACAACTCTAAATTCTGTTTCTTATTTCTCCAAATATAATTGGTTTTCTGCTTTACTCATCATAGATAGAAAATTGGGCACAGTGCTTTGCTTTTCAACTCTTATACTTAGAAAATTTTTATTTAATCTTGCTTGACACATGTTATCAGAACTTAAATTGTAAACCAGTTAATTTGCCAATTTCATACTGAATAGGCCAAATGTTGGTGTATCCGTTGAGGAAAATGAATCCTGTACTGAAACCTTCATCAAGCCATTATGAAGCTCCACATACACACAAAAATAGACCACAAAACAGCACAGTATCATTAAATCTCTCTCATTAAATCTCTGAACTACAGCATAATAACAAAAATTAATACTTAGAAACTAAAGACTCTTCAGAACACCGGGAAGAATCGGAGTTATGAGGAGAGAGATACTATGTGTGCTTTAAGTGATCATGTTAGTGTTAGTACGAAGTTAGTCAAACAGACAATCACTCGAGTACAAACCCAAAAAGTAATCCAATATAGTATTAAGACCAGACCTAAATTAAACAGTGATTCGCTGGAAATATCCTCTGCTAAATTCTGAGGATAAATATAGAGACCAAGAACATAAGTAATGCTGAGTAACTGTTAAAGATGAGGCCAGGTCAATAAGCATCTCTAACCAATGGATGGAAAGTGAGATCAAGAGTTTAAAAGTGACGTGGACTTGCGATCAGCACCAATGACTGCAACACAAGACCTAATCATCAGAACTGCAGTGCCCCAAAAACAAGACCCAAAAGAAACAATCTGGCTTCACTGACTTACAAAACAAATGTTCTACTTGAGAGCCACTACGACAATCTACCTAAAGACCAAAAAGTACCCACATGTTAAAAAAAACCAAAAAAACAAAAAAAACCCTGCAAACGATATTCCTTCATCATTCGTTAATAGGTTTCCTACCCTTAAAGAGCATATCTTTGGCAAAGGGTGGAGAAGGGACAGGAAGGAGCTTCTGGTGATGTTGTGGCAGACAGAGTAATGGTTACCCCCAAAATATCCACCTCCCAACCCCCCAAACCTGTAGATGTGTTGCTTTACATTGCAAAAGGGACCCTTTGGTTTGATTCAGCCACGGACCCTGAGCCACCCGGAGAGGGCCAAGGCAATCACAAGAATCCTCAGCGTGGAAGGGGGAGCCAGATGAGGAGGTCAGAGGGATGAGACGTGAGGAGGATTCAACAGTTCACTGCTGCTGGCTCTCCCTGCAGAGGAAGGGGCCGCGAGGCAAGGAAGGCTGAAGCTTCTAGCAGCCGGAAAAGGCAAGGAAAAGGTTCTCCTCTAGAGCCTCCAGAAAGGAATGCAGCCCTATGGCACCTGGATTGTAGTCTGTGTGGAACTTTTAATCTACAGACTGCATAATAAATTTGGGCTGTTTTAAGACACTAATTTATAGTAATTTGTTACGACAGTAATAGGAAACTAATTTAATAGTAAAGCCATGAAAAGAAGTCTCTAAAACAAACACAGCTACCCTCTCTTAAAAGGGTAATGTGATGCTCTGCAAATACGTGAAGATTTAGTTTGCGTTACTAAGAAATATACCTGCTCCTCTGTAAAATGCTAACACACAAAGCCTAAAATTAGATTTTATGAAAAGATGGAAAAGTAAATCCAATTAACTTTGATCAAGAAATTGGGTGAGAAAACAAAGCAGGGCAAGGTATTTTCAACTAAACAAGAAGGTGATAAATATTAAGCAGGAAAATTTGATATTCTTTGTGCATAACACTAAAAAGGGACCACCACAGTGCCCATGCCACTGGGTCAGCCAAAAGGCGAAATGTGGTATTTCTCTTAAAGCTCCTATTTACCTGATGATCCTCTGGGCAGCATACTGATGGAGAGAACGAAACTGTGCCGACATGTTTGCTAAAGCAGCCAGACAGTTGGTGTGAAGGTACTTGTCCTGTAAGGAAACAGAAGGGTGAAAACAGATCGAGTTTTCTCTACATATGAAGCAAGGTTAACTGGAAGCAAATGTAAACTCAACCGTCCCTGATTTTTAGAAAGTTCAGGTCCACAATCCCTTTTCTCTTAATTCGAAAATCCTGAAAATTCTGGGTTGTTTTTTTTTTTACCACATATTTGGAAGTTACATCTGGTGCAAAAGATTATGTTGCTATTTCTGTTCTTCCTTATCCCTATCCTGGTGGATATCGGAAGTATTTCACTGCAGAAATATTAATACTTATTACAGTGTGCCGCTCCAGAACCTCACGGTTACTTAGACTGTAGCATATATACCACAATCATCTTTCTAAAATCAACAAATTCTCCATTCTTAAGCATGTCTGACTCCTAGAGCTTCAGATAAAAGATAAAAGATTGTGCACATGTATCCACATTAGCCTCATTGAGGGAAATAATTGAAAACAGTGTAGTAAACTTGACCACTTCTTTGAGCTATGAATTCTGTATATTGCTTCTCTATCGAGCGGAACTGAAATTTGCTCCCAGATACTGCAAATACAATCCAGCTAAAATTTTCCTTTTACTCTTTAAAGTATTCGTTCTACTTTTCTTTTCCATTTGAATTCATATTTCCTTGTGCTCATATCTTCACACACTTTGTTGTTGCTGCTTTTAGCGGGCAAATTAGTTTTATTGATCTAGCAAAGACAGACATCTTTTATCTAAATATGCCCCACTGCCCATTTTGTTTCACGTAAAGTATCTTTAATCCACACAATCTATTAAATATTAAGAAACAGACACTATATACATTACTTTAGGATCACGTATTTCAGTCACTATATGCATATCTGATATATTTTTTTTTACCGTATTACATAAAAATGTTAGTACTCTAAATATTGAGATTGCTTTAAACTACAGGCCTGATTGTCCTATATGCATAAAGATAAAAAAAAAATAGCTATGGAATACTTACTCTTGTCCTCGTCATGTTGTACTGAATGGTTCTTATTACAACCAGTATCAGAAGACTCCCCAGTGAAATTTCAGTTAAAACCCGTTCTGAATACCAAGTAATGTTTTTTAATATCTGTAATGGGGAAGAAAAATTTAAGTAAATATGGCTGCTTTAGGGAAAAAAGGATTATCCATGTCTTCAATCTCTGATAAGCTATGGCTTTGCTCTGAAGGTGAGTTAAACAGTATAAAAGTGAACTGTGAGACTTTCAAGATAGCAAAACAGTGCTAAGATGTTCACTTCTTTTTCCTCCTTCCTTCTTAACTAGAAAAGAAAAGAGATCTGGAAAACATCAGTACACAAAAAGGAGATATATTTGAAAGACGGACAGCACAAAGGCAAGACAGAAAAATAGGAAAAAGTGAGAATAGGAAAACTGAGGAGTCTCTTGAAAAGTAGAGCTGTCCCAACAACCACAGAAAACCTTCATACTTGTGTTCAGGAAAAAATAAGAACACAAATAAGTCAAGATCCAGAAGATCCGCACCACATTCTGCTCTGGCTACTGAGAGCAGGTAGCTCTGGTGCTCACCTCCAGGCCGCAGTAAGCAAGATCTGTTTTCTAGCTTAAGCTGGTGCAGTTCCACAGTAGATATGTAACATGGACATCAGAGAGAGACAAAAACTGGACAGTGCAGGTTTGTGAATTGAAAGACTAAATTGAAAAGTTCTCTCAGGCAATAGCAATAAATAGGCAAAAAGACAAAGTATGAGAGAAAAGCAGAGACTTAATGTCTACTTGATAAAAGTTCCAGAAAGTATAGACTAGAAGGAAAACAGAAAAATTAGTAATAGGAGAAAGTTTTGTTGAGGAAAAGAAAAAGTTTCAACATTCTGAGGAGAAATAATGAAAAAAAGTAAAATTTATTCTGGTAAGACTTCTGAATTTACAGGATACAATAAAATCTTATTGGCTCCCAGACAGAAGAAACAGGTTATCACCAAAAGAGAGACAAGCAAACTAACATTAGATTACTCATCCCAAGCATCTGCGTAACAAAAGAACAACGTCCATACATTTCTGAGGAATGGATTATGATTCTAGAATTCTATACCTAGAGAAACTACCACACAAGTATAGAAACAAAGACATGGAAGTATGCAAAGAGTCAACATGAACTGCTCACGCACCACTAAAAACAAACCACCACACATGTACGTACTTAGCTGCCCATCCTCTCCACTGTGACGACAGTAAATGACAGATCAAGGAGTTCAAGAGAAGGAGAATAAGGACTACCAAACAAAACCCAAAAGCAACAACAAACCACAATCATAATCCATGAAATCAGAAAAATAAAATTAAGTCTAAATAATATGGTTGTACCTCAGTTCTTCTAAAAAATCATTAAAATAGACATTTCTCTGGTAAATCTGCCCACCAAAAAAGTCCAAATAATATGAGGAATGAGAAAGGGGGTGTGGAAACAGACCAGAAGAATAAAAAAAAGTAAAGATGCAAGTGCAAACGAGTGCCCCCGCGATAGATTTTCACTCAGTTCAACTCTCTGGCAAGAGTCCCATGTCACCTAGTACCCCCCATTACAAATAACCCAACCCTGACCTGTTCTGCAGTCTCCGCTCATGCCAGAGGCTGGCATACTGCAAATGCCCACTACATGGTAGCTGAATATTGTTTGTGAGGTAAAAAATGTAACATATAAGCATTCCCCTGTATTCATAACTAAGGATGGCTGTCATCAAGTAGAAGAGATAACCTATGTGTAAAACAAATTACAGTTGAAAATATTCAAAATAATGGGTTTTGCCAGCTGAACCTTTATAAAGAAGTGAAGTGCTCAGTCCCGCTGACTTACTCTCTAAGGCACCAGTTCTCAAAATGTGGTCCTGGGACCCTGTAGGGGTCCCACAGACACTTGTGGAGAATTCTCAAGGCCAAAACTATTTTCCATGATAGTACCAAAACATTAGTTTCCACTCTCATTCTCTCATGAGTATATAGTTGAGTTTTTCAGGCACTACATAACATGGCTGATAGTGTAACAATTTTAATACAGAAGCAGACATGAGAATCTATCAGTCTTCTGTTAAGGCAATTTGTTAAAGAGATTTCTTAGTAAGAGAAGACTTCTTCACAAGAGAAGGCGAGTAAGAGTCTTAATCTCCTTCTCTTGAATGGCAAAAATGTAAATGCCATTCTTCTTGCTAAATCTTTGTTTGGCAAAAAACAGTTATTTTTCATAAAAATATATTATTGATGTTAACATGTATTGGGTTTATTACAATAACTATTATTTCTAAATGATCTGATTATTTTTTAAACATCTCAGTTTTAATTTCGAATACGGTAAATGTACAGAACTAAAACCCACAGAAAAAAACTATTTGGTGTTCTCAATTATTTTTAAGTGTAAAGACCAAAAAGTTTTAGAACCAATGCTCTTAAGTCTCCAAGTAAATACTAACACAGGATACTCATTAGGCAACTTTACTAGTGAGAGAAGTCTCTGTCTTTTTAAAAGGTCACACAGTTGAGTATAGTTCAGTTTCTCCTCTCTCAGCTCCTTTATTTAGAAATAAATTATCATAAGCCATCCTTATTTGAAACAGAGATCATTAGTTCTTAACATCTGCTTGTATGTGTCAATTATATACCTGGAGGGAAGAAATGTTTTGAATTAAAGCAGTCTTATTCATTTAACATTCAACAAATATTTAAATGGTATCCACATAGTAAACTTACAATGTTACTATAAAAATTAGAAATCCAATTTAGTCTTTACATAAAACTTTCTTTTCTTCCTGTGAAAAATGTATCATTGTTTAGAAATTCTGGTTGTGTTTAAGAAAAATTATAAGTAACTAGTTATAAAGCTCACACAGCTTCCTATGGGATATCAATGCATAATGGGCAACATACAGAAAATTTTGCTTGGTAGCCACTGACCTATTTAGAACCTATTTAACTGGCTCTCACAAGAACAATTCCCCATTTCTTGTATTTGATACTCAGACATACAGTTTAATAGTCATAGATTGGTATCCTGATTATACAATTTCATGGTCAACTAACTCAAATGATATGCAGAAGGAAACCCCTTAAGGAACTGAAAATGTCTTCCTTCTCAAAAAGGATATGAGAATTACTTGTTCTAGGTCTTTTCCTGAACTTTTGCCCCCCATATAGATATGGTTTTATTGAATGTATCTCTTCCAAATGTTTGTGTGCTAGAGTACAGTAACATACTGTGTAATGTCAACTCTTTAAAAAACCAAGTTTGCATAGAAAGGCAAAGCATAATTAAACTCCATACTCCCACAACTGACATTAACTGTTAACCTTTCATTTTTTTAAAGATTATAAATCCCATTTTATTCCCCTAAAAAGGGGGTACACCATCAACCACTAATCAACCACTATCTTGAGTTTAGTATGTACCTTTCCAGTCCCTTTCAAATGCTTTATATGTACACACGCTCCCTCCAAAACCTACCATTCCTCTGTGTATTTGCTAGTTTATAAAAACAATACCATGGTGTCTTGGGTTGAACAGTGTCCCCCAAAATTCATGTCATCCAAAACCTGTGAATGTGACCTTACTTGAAAACAGGGTCTTCATAAATATATAACCAAGAGAAGGTCATAGTAGGTTAGTATGGACCCTAAATCCACTATGACTGGTGTCCCTAGAAGAGGAGGGGAGACACAGAAACAGGCACCACGTTAGAGAAGGCCATGACAGAACAGACACATAGAAGCTTCAAGCCAAGGACATACCAAGCACGGGCCGCCAGCAACTAAGAGCAAGACCTCTCTCCTAGGTCTTTCAGAGAAAGCGTGGCCCTGATGACACCCTGCTTTTGAACTCCTAATCGCCAGAACTGTGACATTTCCGTTGTTTCTAGCCGTCCAGTTTGCAGTAATTAGTTATGGCAGCCCTAGGACACTAGCACACATAGGTATTTGCGTCTTATTTTTTTTTCAGTCAATATGTTCTTGTAACCTCCCATGTTGATGCATAGAAGAAAAGTATTATTTACCACATATGCCAAATTCTGAGAGTACTAATCATTTCTTAAAATGAATACTTCTATGGTAATTAATAAATAGCTGTTGCCCCAAGCCACTCCCCAAGGACCTCCTGGGGGTTCATCAATTAACGTACAGCAGACAATGAAGGACCATAGTTGATGCCATTCTTACTGGCTGATTTTGGTACTATACTAGTTAAATATCTGAATATCACCTCTACTAAGCACTGAATAGTACTGTACCAATAGGCCACATTTTCTTGGGTCCACTCTTCTATTAATGGAAATTGGGGTTATTTCCAGTTTTTCCCAAAAACAATGTTACAATGTAGATCCTTACCCTTACTATCTAAAATCTCAATATAGGATGCTCAGAAACCAGGGACTCCTTACTCTCCATATTTTCATACTCTGAACGTTAATTATCTAAAGTCGGTCAGGAATCATATAAATTTTAAAAAGAAAAATAATCTGTAAAACACCCGTTTTAAGCCACCCATTTCTCAGTACTTAATGACTTCATAAGCAAGTCTCCAAGAGTTTGCGAGGAAGCAAAACTGCAAAGTCACTGAATAGCTCTTTTTTATAAAATAACTATAGGTTTGGGTCACTATTAACTAAAAAGCATAGAGCATCAGTGTTCATCACAGTAGCATGAGTCACAAGCAGGTATTTAACTTAAAATTAAATTTTAATAAAATTAAAAATTCAATTCCTCAGTCACACCAGCCACATTACAAGTGCTACCTTCTCAGACAGCACATTTAGAGATTTCTGTCATCACAGAAATTTCACAGAAGTTAAAGAGCCTGATATAAAGAACACCACTGTATCCATCACTGTTTTCTCAAATGTTAGTATTTTGCTTCTGATGTCCTGAAGCCCCCTAGCCATTCCTCACTCATCCTATTCTCTAACCTCTGGCAGCCTGAATTTGATACTTCATTACCATGCAGATTTTTGAGATTTATTATTATCAATACATGCAGCTCTGTTTCATTCAGTCTAGCTGTTCTACAGTATTTCATTTATGTTATCAGCTGTTGGCAATTTTTGAACACTACAAACAATGCTACAAT